GCCTGCAGCTCTGGCTCTTATTAGAGTCTCTGGCTTCTTCATGCAGGTGAATCGTTCATGAGAGCTGTGAGGTGGAGCATTAAACCTGCACAGCCTGGTAACGTCTAACTGAGATAGCGTAGACACACCAGAGGAGGCAAGGAACAGTGAAAGAACAGGCTGCAGAGCTCTTTTCCGTCTCAGAGTTATTTGAACCCATGTCAATAGGAACAGGGGGAGCATAGAAGACAGACTGAACCTGGCGGTAAGCTAAATAAGGGTCATGTGCTAAAGGAATTCAGGTGGAATTTTTGTCCTGGAAGAGGCGTTTTGAAAGCCGGCCGGCTTGTTGAGGACAGCAACAGGAGCTCCTGACATAAATAGCTTTTCCCTCTTGGCTGTCTGTTGGTGGCCCATGACTTGCAACTGCACTGAGACCCTGCCACTTAACAGGTGTGTCTCGATTACACAAATAAGTGCAGTTGGTCCCTGTGTTAGCCATCCCTGCTACAGGGCCAAGGTTGAAAGTGGGGCTTAGCCACTGTGACCTATTTGTTCCTCTGTATGACCCTTCCAGTCATGCCTGAGGCAGGCTGGTGACAGCTTTTATGCAGATAGCAGATTTTGTCCACAGAAGAGATTCGATCCCAGCAGGTCTCTGCAGACTTGCATTTCCAGATGAGCTCTTCAGCACTTAATATGTAGCAAAATGTGAAGGACTTTCATGGGTTAGGATGCCCCATGCAGCTGGGAAAATATGCAGTATGACATGTTGGTGTTATCTTCTGTAACACAGTATATGTTGTTGCAGGCACTGTTGTTTTGGCACATGCTGAAATTGTAGATGGCCAGGAGGAATCTCCCTGGGATGCTGTAAAGCACGGAAGCTCTTGCTATTGCAGAAATACCATTTCTGGTGGCAAAGGAGCTTGGCTGGGGAGGAGATCATTGAAAGCAAAAATGACTGGAGGTGAAGCTTTAGGAGGAGATGTGCTTAGTCTCTGGTTGAGTGATTTTATTTTTTTTCTTTCATTGCTTTCTTTTGGAGCCTAGGCCAGCGACTGCCATGGTGGCTGAGGTCACTTGGGTCAGTGGTGCTGCGGGGGGATAGTCCCAGTCTCTCACTTCAGCAGCTGGGAAGTGGGCTCCAGAAGGAATATTATATTTCTTTTGGTAACTCTGCCAAGAAAGAGAGGAAATCCATAATTTGAGCAAAATACTTTAACTTTTTTTTGTAGGGTGGGGTGAGGTAGGAAGGGGGAAATGAAAAATCCTTTATAATGGGTTGCTTGGGATGGCTTTTATCCTGAAACTCTCTCTCAGGCTGCAAGAAAGGTTCAGCTTTTCTTTCTTTGTGTAACAAAGTCTTTGTAAAGGGAGCTTCCATCAGGAGTGCGTGCAATTGGAAATATGCATTAGCTCAGGTCATTTATTGCACCGCATGGTTTGGGATTCTGAGAGTGCTTTTCGGATTAATTAGCTAATAACAAAGATAGCCTCGCATGTTCTGGATCATATAACTTTATCAGCTGCTGATAATTGTGATGCCCTAGCAGAGGTGGTAAAATGATGGACTCTGGGCTTTAAGAACATTTTCCTTGAATTGCATTGAGTTTTCATATTCAGTGTTCGCTGGTTCCTTCATCTTGTGTTTCCTGTCATCCTTCTAGGATGTTGGGTTGTACTTCAGTTGCTTTCCAATGCAGGGCTGTGTAGGTCCTGGTAAAAATAGCCGTCCTTCCTCAGTGAGTCAGCCTTCAGCAGTCTTGAAGTTCACTGCTGGGTGGCTTCTCTTGGCATTCATGTTCTCAGATCTTGATTTCACAGAGCACTTAAGCATGTCCTGAATTTTAAGCATGTGGCTTAGTATTTTGCTGGATTGCATACTGAGAAAGGTCAAGGTATTCGCTGGCTGGTGGATACTGGTCCCTCCACAGCATTTTGCATAGCATTTATCTTCATAAGGTGGGTTATTCTCCTGAACCTTTGGATGTGCAATCCAGTTGCTGAAGTGGGAGGTACTTGGTTAAGTCAACCACTCAGTGTAGATGTGTGATGTCTGTTGATTGTCTCAGGTCATCATGGAACAATTCTTAAAGATTTGCATGTATAGAAAGTGTGTTGATCGTGATTGAAGCAAAATGGTCTTTGTAGGGGAGAAAAGGATCTTTTTAATCAAATGATTAAGTTTATATGGTGATGTGCTTTTTAACTTTCTAAGATTTGAGAACTGCTCTCATGCATTGCAGTGATGCTCATCACCTTTTTTGATGTATTCTGGGAGTTGCTCTGGGGGGTGCTGTCGAGGAAGCAAATCAAATTATATCTCAGCACTTGATTCCATCACTGAGCTTGATTTAACTTCTCTTCTGGTATAGGGGATCAAATGTCTCTGACCAACACTTGAAAATCCTTGCAGTTCTGTCTCTGCTGCCCTGGTATAGGCAAAGGGGAGGGATGTATTGGTCTAAATTCTACATCCCCTTTCTTATGGCCTCCATATGTTCTGTCCCCTTTCTTGCCTCTATTTTGAATAAATAAAATGTCTGGGAAATAAAAGGTGGATGCTCCTAAGACATGTTTAAATTAGCTGGATCCAGAATTGCTATATGGAGGAGGCAGGCTGGATGAATAATATATCTATTAACAGTAAAACAAACAAGATGACAAAACAAACAAAACCTCCCCAAACCCCACCAGGCCTCCCCCATATAGTCCTCCCCACTCAACCCTTGCCCATTCCAGCAGGAACTGTTGATTTGTGTGAAAGAATGAAGTGTCTGTTACAGGAGTAACTGCAATATCGAACTGGTACTGTGGGCCAAGCTGATGTGTGACTCTTTTCTGAAATTCCTTTTTTTCAGCAGCAGGAGGATCAAGGCCTGCCTCCCAACTAGAAACACCAACACCAGCAGTGTAAGATGGAGGCTGCTTTTTTGACCTTGGATTCACCTTTTTTGGAGCCTTGGAAATTACATCTAGTCTTAGTAGAGTTTGTGCGTTGAGCTCAGGATGTCTGGTTGGGCCAGTACGTGTTGGGAGGGGGTTGTGGCGTGAGTGCATTTTCCATCACTGTGCAAGCTGGCGACTTAAAATCTGTACATGGGGAGAACTTAACTGAGGGTTGAGTGTGGGGAGGAGAAGTGTTTTGGAGTAATGAATGGAATTGGATGTAGGCGGAGAGCCTGAACTCTGTCTGGGAGAGTAATAAGCAATGAGGAGGCTGCTGGACCTGGCCTGACTTTTCATTGCTGTGCATTCCTCATCTCAGATGCTGTCTGGCCCCACGAGCTCCTGCAAGTGCTCTCTTTAAAAAAGGAATTCCTCTTTTTGCAGCCTTGGCTAACTCTATAGTATATTTTATATTTTTTTTTAAAGGGTTAGGAGAAATAAAGAGCTCATAGCTTCCTAAATTCAGTTTTATTTGGTGTGGCTCTACTGATCATAAACTTATAGTTGCAAAGCTTTCTAGGGGACGAAAAGCTTTTCTGTGTGTGGTTTCTGTTTTTGTTTAAAATGGGTCACATGCCCAGGAATGCAGTCAAATTATAATGGTGACTAAGTGCCGGAAAGCATAGAAAAGGGGAGGGAAGGGTGAGCAGAAAAAAAGAGCCTGAGGCTATGGAAGGAAGGCTGGGAAAATGAGAATCTGGCCAGGCCCCAGGGCCAGGTTAGAGATTCCTACACCCATTAACAACCACAGGAGATGTTTATTTACAGGGAGCTAATCTTTGTTTTAAAAATGACAGAGTACCCAAAAATCCCACTTTTGGGGAAGTGGGTTGGGGGCACGGTAGGGATGGAGAAGGGAACTGGTTCTGATTGGGCACCAGTCCCCATCTCTCAAGGACCTTCCCTTCATCCTATGCATCTGGGAACATTGGCTGTTGAGAAATGCATGAAAGGGGGATAAACTCTCGTCATCTAGTAAGTTGTCATCCCTAGTTACAAAGGATAACTTCAAGAGTTTCTTCTTGTTTGTACTTTTCTGATCTTTTCTCCCTAAGCAGCTCCACCAAGGATATTGAATAATTAAGTTTATGATATGAGAAAGATGGGAGCCTAAGCTGCCTTCCCCCCCCCACCCCCTTTTATCAGCCCTGGATCATGAAAGCAAAACAGATGTTGAACAGCTGTTTGAACTGGCTATGTTCATGTAGACTCTAAAGAGACCTTGGTCACAGGTCTCTGTGGTACCTACCTTTTGTCACCTCTTGAGCTGTGTTGATCATGGCTTGTCTCAGCTCATCACAGTAACTTTGATTTGTATCCCAGCAACTGCTTATGAACTACAGTCTCTCTTTTAGTAACTTTGTCTGACTGTAAGTAGAGAATTTTCCAGCGATATGGTGGAATTCTCTATCCTTTGGTGAGCTGCTGCAAAAGGTAGTCCGTCTTGGGAGGATGTGTGTGCATTGGGTGGTTATACAGATGAATTAATTTTGGTTTTAGTTTGAACATATCTTGATTTCTAATTATTGTATCTGGTTGTGTGATTGCCAGGCAGGTGAGGGTCTGGAGCAGTTTCTTTACTAGTCTTCTGGCTAGACACACTCTTCTGGCTTCCAGTTTCAGTGTTCTCCTGACTAGTGTTTCCTCCATCTGTTCTTGTATGGTGTTGTCCTTATCTTAACTGGCTTTCTTTAGTCTCTATTAGAAGAGTGATGTCCTGTTTCTCTGGTCTGGTAGTTTCTGTGTCGTCTTGTTTTGATTGCATTTTGTCTGAACTTGTGTTGCATTCAGTATACTAGATCAGCTCTTGATCAGATCTAATGCTTGTACGCTAGTGATCATCAGGGATAGTTTTCTTTGCTGATAAGCACCCACTCTGCTCGGTGTTCCTTTCTTGTCAGCTCTCATGAGTGCACTTGCTCTAGTGTGGCTCAGGCACCATCAATGTTTGCCGGTTCATCATTTGTGGAACCAGAGTGAGAGCATACCTGTGACCAGCTTGAGTGTATTTGTTGTCCGTATAGTATCAGTCCTGGTTGCTAATCTCATCTCTCTTCCTTTGTTTGCAGAGCGGCTGGCATTCCAGTAAAGGAAAGGGTGAAAGTATCTCAGAACTGGAGGCACGGACGCTGCCGGAGGGAGACGGTCCTGAAATGGAAATGCAAGCAAGTGGCTCCTTTCTCTTCTACTTTGTTCTGTGTCCTGTGTCAGCTGCTGTGGGGCCTTGGGTTTGTGTCTGTGCCCTGAAATCAGATGTTTCCTGCTCCTTGTGATCCATGGGATCTTACAAGTGGTGTCACTGGCCTGTTTTGGATGTTGCTGGCTAGCTGGGCATGGGGTAACTGAAGTTGCTGTCTTGCCCTAGAGGTTCACTCTGACAGTCAAGAGCTCCTCTCTTAGTAAGAGCTTGAATTTGGCATTGTTCTGATCTGTGCAGTTCTAGTCAGATTTAGCAATCTTTACTACAGACTTCAAACTGTTATGTTCCTATCTATTGCTGTATACCATGAGCAACTTTCCATCCCGCTCTCACAATGAGCATACCTTGATTCCAGACGTGGACTTATGTGTCCCCTCAAAATGCTTGGTTTATCTCCCGTGCTTTATCCTGGCCCCTGATTTGGATGTACAAATCTAAAATGCTAATGGCCATTCCTCTAACTTATGCTTCTTCATTCTCCTACCTTATGATTTTCTCCTTCACTAAAAGAAAAAAAAAGCATGTTTGACATTAATGAGAGGAGATTGTTGTTAAATTCTGGCTTGCAAAGGTGTACTCAGCTTTCAAAGCAAAGGATAAGATAGGTCTCTTGTCTGAAGACACAGCGAAATTTTCTGAAGCACATCTAAATTTTCAGCCTTCAAATCATCAGACAGAAGGAGAAATGAGAAAGACTATGGTTTGTTAGATGCTGAAGAACAGGGACCTGCTACTGAGCTTTCATGCCTTTTTGTGCTGTGTAGATTGAAGTGATGGATAATGTGCCACTGCTTGTCTAAAGTCCTGGGAACAGCTGTAATGAGCAGAGTGGTTTTTGGTGCAGGTTGTATACCTGCCTTTGATGTGCTTGCGACCATCTGTGAAGACAGGCTCTGTGAATGTTAGAGATCATTACTAAACCACGTTCCCGAGTGAAAAGGCAAGGACTGATTTAATGAGGCCACCGTCCAAACTGCATCCTCTAATTTTCATTTATCCTGCTTTAAATTTGTTACTTCTCCTTATGAAAAAGCCGTAGAAAAAGGTAAAAAGCTAAACTGCAGCAGGAGGAGAGCCACAGAAACTGGCTGTAGACTAGGTAAGCTGGATATTCACTTGCTTTTAGAGGACTGCGTAGGAGTGGAGGAAGGAAGGGGAAATCGAAGTCCGCCTAAAACCAAAGCTGCCGCTCCAAAGATGCCTCTTATTTTTTCCATGCATATGATCAAGTCCCAAATGAACATTATAACCTATGCTCAACTGCTTTGTCTGTGTGACTAAAGCCTGTTATTGGAGATAAATGCAGGCAAGCGGGAACCTTCTATCTGATAAGCAATCTTGTCCTCTTGCTTGTTTCTAGTCCCTCGTTGTGTTGAGGTGTGGCTGTGCGTAATGGCTCTGCTGACACAGAAAATCATGACCTCTGAGGATGAATGATCTGCAAAAAAGAGGGAGACAGGTTTTTATGAGAAGTCCCCCTGCTTTCAAAACAGTTTGTTCCTGAATAGTTTGAAAACTGAAAGGCTGCTCTATGGAAAGGCTCTGATTTTGCTCAATGTTTGCACGGATGTTGGTGCACTTGGCAACAACTGCAGAGTGGAGACAATTTCACACATCCATAGGACACGAGCCCCGTGTCTCTTTGTATCTGGCCTTGCCATATCCAGGAGGCCTATTTGCTGATTCTCTGGTAGCTACACAAAAGCAAGATCTTGAGCAAAGAGCACACTGCCTAAGCATGCGTTGTAGCCTGTTCTGTTTTCAGTATTTTGGTTTTGTTTCAAGAATAAATAAACTTCTTGTGATGACAGACTTGGTTCAGGCATTGCTTGAGTGTCGTCTTCTCTTCTTGATCTTCCAGGGAGTGAAGCATGTTTTCCACTTCAGTCTTCAAAATACTTTGGAACAGCTCCTTTAGCCGTCCACTGCTCTTGGCCTGGAACCTGTCTGTAGGAAGCTGCCGTTGTCCCATAGATAGCAAGGTGCAGATAGGGTGTCTGGGCTCTTCTGAAAGATGGGCAACAGAAATCAAGAGAGGTTGCTCTGCAATTGCTTTTGGCTCAGCAGTGGAAGAGATGTGAATGTAGAAAAATACCTCCTCTACATGATGAGCGCAAAGTTCTTGGATAGCCTCAGGCTTACCCTGCTGCTTTATGTATTGGCATACAGAGAATGCAGGAGGTAGAGGACTTTGTCTGTAGGAAGACCTGTGTTATTTGTGTGACCTGCTCCCCTGCCAAGACACGTGTGAAACAGCGGTAGCTTTGTGGTCTCTGCTGGGCATCAGCAAATGACATGCAGGATCAAGACTGACTGTTTGCACCAAGAGCCTCATATTAAAGGCTCTGTTAGAAATGCTCAGCATAGCTCATAAATGCCTGATAGTCTAGTTTCTTAAAAAGTACAAGGCTCATGAAGAGGGGTCAGGGAGCCTTAAGTATTTCCTATCTAAACTCATTAGACTCTTGGCCATCTCTTTCAGAGATTCCATGCTTCCTTTTCCTCAGCTCTTGGTTAGAAAAATGCCAGCAATGTGATTTGCTTTGTATGTTGCTGGAGAAGTTTCACTTCTTAGCTGTGCTACTATATTAAGCCCTGCTTTTGCTTGTGACCAGCAGCTCCAACTTCACAGTTTTCTTGAGTGGGCATTTGCTTTTGTTGATATGTTTACATATGCAATCTTTTCTTTTTTTTTCTTTTTGTGTGTAAGGTTGGTTGGTTGGTTTTGTTTTGTTTTTCTTCTCCCCACCCCTGCACCACCACCCCTCAACCTGCTGTCTGTTTGCAGTTTGATGCCCTGGATGGAGCTGGATGGCGAGTATCTCTACCTGTCTCAAGCAGAGAACATCCAGGCCTACCGGCTCTGTCCAGATGGTACAGGTTTGCAGCGTCACCCTCAAGCTATCTTCTCTGGCCACCAGGAGGACGTATGTCGCTTTGTTCTTGTCAACTCCCACATCGTCAGTGGAGGGGGGTAAGTTGGGTGAATGAGGGAGCCCAAGGAGTGTGGCGGTGAAGTTGGAAAGGTTTTGTGTAACTCCAGCCCAGAGCAGCGGGGTCAATCTTGCTACACAGTGTCCTCATGCTTGGCTGGGTTCAACTGCTGCTGCTTCCTCTCTTATGATTTGATTCTCTCCTGAAAAAGCTTCTACTACAGCAGTGGAGGAGCTGAGTCTCATGCTGTTGACCTTATAAAGTGTCCTGCTCTCTTTTGAACTTGTGTAGATGTCCACAGGATTGTTTAATTGGGATTGAGTGATCAGACAATCCTGACTGATGTGCAATTTTCATTTCTTTCCCTGTTAGAGTCAGAGTAGCTAGACTGCGTTCTAATACTCAGAACTGCTGGTTAACTGGGACCACAGTGGTGCGTAAAGCTTTCTAGAGACAAGTATATGTTTATTAGACCTACTGATATAATTGTGGGGAGGGGGAAAACTGCCAAGCATTCCAGCACACACACACTTCTCCAATTAATTTTGCATTTGACTGGCCTTTTTCAATTACAGCAAATGACAGAACTGTTATTTATAAAGTTTTAGCTATTAATATACACAGCGCTTAAGCACAGAATTGGGAGATGGAAGCATGGCTGTCTGCCCTGGATATCTTGAGACTCTCCCCTGTGAACCGTAGCCCAAAATTCAGGTGAAAATGAAGGCATGCATTTAAAATTCCAGTAACTGCATTGGTTGAAAAAAGTCTAAATGTCTTTGTAGTTAATTCAAAGCATAATACCCTGCACGGCTGCTCTGAAATGAATGAAAAGCTGAGACTTGGACATGGGTGAGAATGACCTCTCACTTGTTCCCTTACTCCAGCCATTCAGCATCCAGCCAGAATTCTGGCAAGCTCAAAGCAGTAGGAGGAGGAATGGCTGCTGTGCTAGTTTCTGCAGCTTAACACAAAGTGGAGGGTGGAAAGATAGCCAGGAGGATTTTTATGTGTGGCAGATCAGGCTTTGACTGGCCAGATGTGAGACTGCAAGAGAACAGGTGATATGTGAGGAGTGGAGGATTAATAATGCTGCATGAATTTCAGCTCCCATGAGAGATCAGTCCTGGTCTCTTTGTGGCACTGCTAAGCATTAATGGAAGGTGCATGGCCAAGGGAGATGCGGCTGATACAGACTCCTTGCCTGGGGATTTGTTTTTTAGAGATGGAAATATTGTCCTTCACAAGATCCATGGCTCCTACAGTGTCAAGTTCTCTGCGCATGAACAGGAGGTGAACTGTGTGGACTTCCAAGGTGGCCTCATTGTCAGTGGCTCCCGGGACAGAACAGCGAAGGTGAGCAGTGATGTTCCAGCAGGTGCTGCTGCAGAGGTGACCTCAGACGTCTTGTGCAATTAATGTTTAAGTGTCAGCAAAACAGTTGTGAACCCTGTCTTGTGTGTCTGCAGGAGGAGCACTGGGTATCTTGGTGTAGGCTTATGTCTCTGAAAAGATACTTGCTGTGCCAGGCTTTTAAGAAAGAGATTTGGCAGTACTTGATGACATCAGCTGCTGGTTTAAACTAGGAAGTGCAGCAGGTGGCAGCTGATGTTTTGCTCCTTTCACTGTACATCTGTCTAACACTAGAGCAGAGATCCATGCCAATTCGTCTGAAATTTGCCATGCGTATCTCAAGTACATCCTTGCTTTGTGATGCAGTGCTGCTTCACATACTCTCTGTTTGTATATTTGATCTCTTTAAGGGATAGTATGATGTCTTTCCACATCTGTGGGGCTGTGATTTATTTGCTTGTGGTTTGGTGTGGGGTTTTTTTATGGTTCTTGGTTTGCAAACCAGGAGTGAAGTTAGACTATGAATACTGTTAGCTCCCATTTTTCTCGTCCAGTTGGCATCACTGAATCCTATCACGTAATTTTTGGCTATTTCCTTTTGAGGGAGGATCTTGTTGATTTTTATCCTTCTGGATCTGGTTGGCAGTGCTGTGTTCCTACATGGACCTGAAGAGTTGTTCTCCTGAGCTGTAGCCAGCTCTGTTTTAGTAGTTTAGGAAACTCCACGTAGGTGTGTCATCCTTGGCCTGCTAGCATGATGCAGTACCTGTAGCATCTTCAGAACCACTCATTTCATTCTTAGAAGTGGTTGCTGTATGTTGAAAGCTTTGGCTGTTGCTCAGGGTGGGCTCATGGGGATACTCTTGGTCCCTGGTACGTATTGTAGAGCATTAATGGAGATAAGAGGAAAAACTGCTATTCCTATTTTGCAAGAGGGGAAGTTGGGGCGAAGAAAGACTTAGATATCTCTTTCAAGTTTTTATAGGAAGTATGTGGTAATGGGTAACTATCTGACAGACTGCTTGTTGGTCCCTCTGTATGGGTGTACTCCTGGGTAAAATCACTCCCAAGCAGAGCAGTGTTCAGATGCAAAGGGCACTGCTGGGAATGCTGCTTGCCTCCTGGGAGCAAGGCCTTGGTGCTGCTTTGTCTCACATTTAAGCAGGGCTGCTCCTCTCTGTTCTGCGGAGCCCCTTTGCTGGGAGAGTGCCTTCTTGCTGCTTCCCTGGCAGCTGGAGGACAGACCTCCCCGACCTTGAGAACAAATTCCTGAAGGCCAGAGGGGAATTTAAGGCTGTTTTTCTTGGAGCTAGTGTGAGATCTTGCCCACCCAGTGCTCCCCACAGCATAGGCTCTAGGGATGTTCACCTCTTATTTTTTTTATCATCTCTTTTGTAGGCTGCCTTGTTTGCCTGAATGAGACTCTTGGAGGGTGGAAGGGAATCCCTACCAGCCTTTTAAAGGGGCTCTAAGTGTCTAAGCTATTGAGGGCTCTGCCGAGTGTTGATTAGGACTAAGCCCTGAAGAGCTGCTAATGTACATTCCTGTGTGATAGGCACCAGATAGTGTGCTCTGAGCAATATTTTTAACCTGTAGGAGATAGGGATGCCTTAAAAGAGTTAAGCTTTTCTGCTGCTTTTGCTGACACTAGGTGCTAAATTCCCCGCTGACAAGAATAGCCTGCAATCCTGGGCATTATCAACAAACAAACAAATAGGGCACTCCCGGCTTTGAAGTCTTGAAGTGAAACGTTGGGGGTCGGTTACAGAGAACTGGGGGGCTCAAGTCCTGTGGGCCAAGAATGAGGGCAAAGTGGGGAAAATGAGGGCCACAAGCAGAGGCCCCAACAAGAATCTGGGGGACTTTATTAGGACCCAGAAACAAAGCGGGGGGGGGGCTGTAGTGAACTGGTGAAAGGGGATGTGCATGTATGCACAGATGGGAGTGGGAAGAGATTCTCTCACAGTGTCAGTGAGCAAGGGGGCCTGTTTGAAAATAGCCTGGGGTATACTTAAGAAATTTGGTCGAAAGGGGGTGGGTTTATAAAAAAAACAAACCCTATTTTACATGATAGTGAACGATTAATTTTATAGGTAATATGAATGGAAATTTTCCAGGGATGGTACAGAGTCTTCCCAACTGTTCAAGAGAACAGCGGAGATTTGAACAAATCCCACTTCTTGTTTATTTAACTACAGAAGATGAGAAGTCTCTGTGTTGAGTGCTGCGCTAGAGAACATGTGGTAATGAGGGTGCTCTTTCTGTTACCACTGGGATGGAAGGTCATACTCATAAGCTGAATCTTTGTGTAACTTTAAGTGCTTGTTTCTGCCAGTGATTGAAGGCTCTGCTCCTCAAAAATAAGTAATGGGAATTCAGGGAGAGGATCTCGGGGAAGGTGAGCACGGCAGTTTTGGCAGCTCTTCCAGCACAATGTTAGCAGTGTGCATCCTACCTTCTGCACCTTCTGAGTGATGTGGCATAACATGTATCTCTCTCTTTAGGTTTGGTCCCTGTCCGCGGGCAGAGTTGGGCAGTGTCTACATACAGTGCAGACAGAGGATCGAGTGTGGTCCATTGCTATCAGCCCATTATTAAGGTAACTGAGATCTCTTTATTCCCAATTTCCAACAGAGACAAGTAAAGGAGTTGGACAGGCTGTGTTCCCGCAAGTCTCTCCGAGGCACCAGCGTGACACTTCAGGGACTTTTGATGTGGGTGGAGGCTGATCAGGTGCTCGTGCCTGCAGCAGGAGCTCAGGGAAGAGTGCGTGGTCTTTGTTCCCCAGAGCAGCTGAGTGGTCTCCTCATAAAGAGGCTGTGAAAATGGCCCTGTGTTCCTGTTACTGTCCCAGGTGGGACCTGTTCGTTCTTACTTGCAGAATGAAGTCTCTGACTTACTCTGCCTTGCTAATTAGAAGCAATGAGCTGGATCCTCTTGAGGTTTTCTGTACTGAAAAGATGCCAACTTGTATTCTCATTATCTGATAGAAGAGATGCCAAGAAAAGAAGTCCCTGCTTTTTTGCTTGGGAAGCTAGCTTGGAGCGGTGTGCAGTGGTTAGTGCTCAGTGTTTTTGGTAAATTGAGCATGCTGGACTGGGAAAGATGGAAGTGGCGTTCAGGGATGAGGTTTTCCAGCCTCTATGGCCTGTAGCCCTGTGCTTCTAGTATGGGCATAATGCTGCAGCTGCAACCTCAGCATGGGAGGCAAGGGCTGTACCTACACCAGTGTCTTCCAGGGTGTTTTTCAAAGTGCTTCTGTTCTTGAGGAAGTGAAAATCTGAGAAGCTTAAACTCTGGCTGTTAAAATCTTCCACTGGCTAGCAACGATCTGTCTCTTTGGTGCATTGTTAAGCTGGTCTTCTGCATGCAAGAGAGATTCTTCCTCAGCCTTCCTCAAGGGAGGAGGGGAAGAAGAGCTATTGTTGCTGTCCATGTCATATATGCAACTAGTGAATTTTAGGCTTGTGCAAAACCAAAATACTTCCCGCAACTGCTGTCCTCATTAGATTTCCAAGCTTGTTTTGCAGGCAGCAGAAACTTAGTGGTACGGAGCTAATGGCATTATCAGGGAAATGACCCTCGAGGCCTGCTATGATTTTGCCATTCTCTTGTCCCATTGCTCTGAGTGTTTGAGACAGATAGTGTTTTTGAAGAAGTGCCATGTGTGTTAATGCTGCTGCAAGATGTTAGATAGAAGCCCTTTGCCGTCTTTTGTGCTGCAAGGGCCTCTTTTCTAACAGACAGGCTCTGGCTCTAGCACGATGGCTGGTTAGAGCCCAGTGGCATGCTGCTTCCTACTCCTAAGTGATGACCTACTGAGGTGGCCTCTTGTCAGGACAGTGTTCCTCTCCCTGGTGTGCACGCTTGTGCACACTCTCTGTCACAATATTTACCCACTGTCTCCCCATCCCCCCTTTCCTCCCTGCAGAGTGATAAATGGGAGGTAGTAGAACAGCTACCCCATGAACAAGTGGGCTTAAATTGTGCACTCTCATTTTTTTCATGAGACTCTGGACTGTACCAGCCTCCCCGGCTAGCCCACCCTACCTTTTCCCCCCCCTTACCCCTCAAAATTTTGGGAAGGGGGGGGTGGAGAATTAGAGCCAATTAGCCACGTCATTAATTCTTCAATTTGACGGCTGATATAGCAGGGCCTGAAACACGCTGCTGACCTCGTATAATGGGAACCCTGCTCCTTAACATATTGACGATGGGAGAAGTTAATTAAAATTCCACAGAGAGAAGGTGTCGGCTAACCTATAAACCTGTCGCTTCTCAGAACAAATCGCAGCGATCCTAGAAGAGAGAGAGGATCAGAGCAGGAGGGCATGTGGTGGGGGAGGGCCAGGGCAAGGGGCAGGGGAGATGAATTTTTCACTAATAGGTTTTATTGCTTGCTGTCTAATGAGGGTGAGTATCAAAAAGATAATATCTGGTTTCTAGCACGGTCTGCTTTGGGGAGCTCTGTGGTTTCTGTTTTATTTGCAAGAGCCCATATTTCACCCGTATTCATTCCCTATGCACTTGTGTGTGAAGCTTTTCCTCCCTTGCAGTCCCCATCCTTCTTGCTGGAGCTTGGATGCATTTGTTCCTCAGTGAGGCTGAACGTGGCCTATAACCTCCACTTCCTCCTAAAACATTTGATGTGCCCTCCCGATTCTCCCTTCTCTCTTGTGCTGGTGTAAACTGAGAGCTCCTCCATAAGAACGGATAGTTCTGCTGGTGTAGAACTGCTATAGAATCAGGCTCCAACCGCGTAGGTATTTTGGCCTGTCATTGCTGAGAACCCACCAGCTCTCTCCACTATGGACACGTAGAGCTCAGGAACAGCTCAAAGCAGTTGTGCGCAGAGGGGTAGAAGCAGGGAGGGCTCCTCTAGCTGTAGCCATTTGAAAGTGCTTTGGAGAGGCTGCAGTTTCCTGACCTGGAGGTTTGCCAGTGACTCTCTAGAGTAGTCAGGGTTGTATTCTTACTGAACTTCAACTGTTAATGGGCAGGACTGAAACTTTTCTTCTTGCTTTTCAGTGATATCTCCCTCTGTGTGAAGCTTCCTTAGAAAGTATCCCATGCGCTCCTGACCCACAGCTGGGTTTTCTGCTGTGTCTGCTGTAGTCCTGCTCTAATGGGCAGTGCCTGTATGCCCAAACTAAACTTCAGAGACTTGCGCTTTTAAAGTGCGGCTTCTCTGGCTTCAGGCATCTCTTTTTGGTATTCTGCTTTGATTTGTCTGCAAATCACTACAGAGATCCTCCTGCAGATGTGCTGAGCTAGGGAGGAGGCTTCCTTGCTTGTGGGGATGCTGGGCTGGATGCTCAGAGGGTCTGCAAACAGAATGATACCCATAGGGGAGATTAAGTACGGTAAAAGGGTGCCAAGAGTACTGCATCTCTTCTTACTGTGTGGGGGAGAACTGTGCTTAGTCCTTTGTATAACCTTTTCAGCCACGCAAGTGCCTTCGCATCCATGAGTGTTACTGGAGCTTCATTGCTTTGGGGATCCCTAACAGCGCCCCGCAGGGTAGCGGGGATGGGCAGGGCATTGTGTTCCTTCTGGGTTTTCAGCAGGTCTTCTGTATAGCTGTAGTGGTCAGTGTGCTTGGGACAGCAGGTCCCGTGTTGCCTGTCACATCAGGGACTAGAGAAGAGTCTGAGAGTGTCCTTAAAACAGGGTGCCTCAGGTTGCTCCAGCAACTGTTTTAATTGGTCTCCAAAGCTGTCCTTCTCCGTGGATTAGTAAAATGCTGTACTTACAGAGAGACTGTGTACCCTAAACCATGTTTCTTAGCTGCTTGTAATCCCCTTCCCCCCGAGCTCATTTGCCTTTTGAACTCTGCATCATGCAGATGTTAAACTTTCATTTACTGGTGCTTACTGCGGTGACTTATGTGTGCTCAGGGACCAGGGCAAGCCTGAGTGCAGTGGACCAATTCAAATGTGCAAAGTGAGGCAAACCCAGGGGTTTCTAGTGGAATAGTGGCACCTTCATGCTTTGTGATTCCCTGAGGTGGCAGTAGCCAGGGAAGAGAAGTGACCACTGTATACTGTTTAATTTGACAGATAGGTTTATGGAGAAAATGAGGTCCAGTTGCCTGGCCTTTATGGCTGCAGAAACGGGAGGCTTATGATATACGTTGTACTACTGAAATGTTCCTTTATTTAGGGGAAAATTTGTTGCAATTTTTCCCCTAATGATAGAGAAGCTTGTAAACTGGAGGGGAAAGAAAAAAATTCTTTATTAATCTTGGATTCAGAAATTCTTTGGTGTTGGATTAAAGTAAGTATTCAAATCTAAGCTGGTTTCTGCTGGGTCTGGCCACTGGCATTTGCTATTTAAATTTTAAAATATTTATCGTGAGAGCTGGTCTTCCCATGTTGTACTCGAAGTGTGTCGGATTTTAAACCAAGAGATGATGGAGGCACAAAAGTGGTTTTCAATGTTCAACTATAGATAGAGAGCTAGGAAACCTTTGGTGCAATCTGGGGCAACGGCAGGCAACCCTAATGTGCCCTATTGCGGCAGAGGTGTGCTTTGCATGCGTCAGCCCAAAAGACCATCTCTCCTTTTCCAGTGGTGTCATTGGTCTGCTGCAGTACTTGACCTCTCCTTGCAAATGTTGCCTTGGTGAAGTGTAGGTTTACTCCAGAGAGGAGGAAAGTTTGTACCAAAGACTAGCTGTCTGCATTGAATGTTTAATTTAAAGGAAAAAGAGTAGTTCTGTGAGCAGCTGAATTTAAAAAGCCAGGCTTGTTCTATCTCTTCTTTTTATGCAGTGTTGTAGTTGACACCCGACTCCTCTATTTTAACATGCTAATTTGAATCTGTGTTGCCCTAATTGCCTCTTCCATGGAATATTATGGGGAAGTAATATCTGGGGAGACCTCTGCCCCTGTGGACAACCTCAGACAAATTGTAAAACATACCCAAAACTTCCTGGGGAAAGGAAGGAAGAGAAGGGTTACTGACAGGCACCTTGACTGAATGGGCCTCTCTTCCACTGGGAACAATCAAAATGATTAATTTTGAGGGCTTCTTCTTAATGGTTATCTGGAAACTTTTTGTGAAGGTGAAACAACCTGATCTTGCAGATTGCGTTAGAGCAAAACAACCCACTTGAGTCAGAGCAACTTCGCAGTAGTTTTAACTGTACAATTGAAGCCCTAATGTGCAGCACTTAAAATGCTTGATAATGTTCCCCCCCCCCCCATTTCTTGCTCCATTTTTATCATTAGTTATCCCCTACTGCGTATCAAGATGAGCTGTTGGCTGTAGTGGTGCTCTGTTTTGACCTAGCTTTGTGCAGTTAACCTCTCTGAGTCTGCTAGGACTTGGGACAAGTAACTGGGTTTTATTCTGGTTTGTGCATTGCCAGCAAAATGGCAGGCAGCAATAGCTCTGCTGTCCTTGGGGATCTCTGCAGAGCCTGGTTGGTTTGAATAATTGAGAGGGGACTCTGACCTGCAGCTGTTTCTTAAGCAGGGACAGGAAGAACCTGCTCAACTGTGAGATCCCAGGGTGGACTTGCAGAGTTAGTGGTGGCGTTAACTACCATGTCTTACTGACCTCGGAGAACGATCTGGATGCGGGTTTCAAGATACA